TCTACATTTCAGCTATAGCTCCGTGTCTGGCTTTTTGCTGGTTAATTGGCAATAAGAGTCTTAAAGATTTGGTTGCCTGGGCTGGCTTTGAACAGTGATCCTCAGATCTCAGCCTCCTGAGTAGCTATAGCACTTGGTCTCCCACTCATCATACCTAATCTACCTTGCTGACATAGCTGTCTTCACAGCTATACTGCCTGCCCTATTAGTTACTGCATGTACTGGGGTTTGAACTCAGAGCCTCATAGTTGTTAGATAGATGTTCTACTACTTGAGCCACCCCTCCAGACTTCTTTTAGTTATTTTTTTTCAGGTAGGGTCTTGAGTTTTTGCCCTAACTCAGACCCTTCTACCTATTCCTCTTACCCTCTATGACCCTCCTACCTATTCCTTCCTTCTAGCTGGGATCATAGTCACTTACTTCCATGCTCAGCTTATTGATTGAAATGAGGTTTTGCTAACTCTTTTGCACAGGCTGTTAGTTTTCAGGCAAGATCTCTATTTTTGCCTCCCAAGTAACTGAGATTACCATTGTTCCCCGTCTAATTGCTGGCTTTTTATTTGTTGCTTCTTTCCTCTACTAGAAATTATATTGTGTGACAGCAGGGACTTTGTCTTTTAATTCCAGCACCTAGCACTGTGCCTGACATATATCAGATGCTTGATAATTGTTGCATGATAAATAATTGATGCAACTAGATTTGCATCCCAGGAGTCAGTGTCCCTGGCTATACTCCATACTGTGAAGCCTCTGTCTGAGGCCCCTGTCCCCTGGATACCAAGTTCCTAGAAGAACCGTGAGGAATGCTGATCACATTTGTGTGGTAGCACTCCTCCTACTAGAAACTGGTGTAAAGGAAGGGGCTGGATGTGTAGGTTATAGGGGGGCCCCAGAAACAGTGTAAGGACAGTAGAGGTCGGAACCTTTTTCTTCTCTTTTTTTCTTATGCTGGTTCTAAGGCTTGAACTCAGAGCCTGGACACTACCCCTGAGCTTCTTTTGCTCAAGGTTAGTGCTGTACTAGTTGAACCACAGCTCTTTTTTTTTTTCTTCCCCAGTTCTGGGGCTTGATCTTTATCCCTGAGCCTCTCTGTGTTCAAGGCTAGTGCGCTACCACTTGAGCCACAGTGCCACTTCTGGTCCTATCTATTTATGTGGTACTGAGGAATCGAACCCAGGGCTTCATGCAAGCTAGGCAAGCACTCTACCACTAAGCCACATCCCCAGCATCCCTCCTCCTCCTCTCGTAGTTTATGGGAGATAAGAGTCTCACTGACTATTATCCTCCGATCTCAGCCTCCTGAGTAGCTAGGATTACAGGCATGGGCCATTGGCACTTGGCTGAGGCTGGACTTTTTATTTTTTGTCTGTTGTGGGGCACTGTCCCTGAGCTCTTCAGTTCAAGGCTAACACTTTACCACTTGAGCCACAGTGCCACTTCCGGTTTTCTGGTGGTTTACTAGAGGTAAGAGTCTCATGGACTTTCCTGCCTGGGCTGGCTTTGAATCATGATCCTTAGATCTCAGCCTCCTGAGTAGCTAGAATTACAGGCATGAGCTGTGGGCAGAGTCTGGACTTTTTAAAGAGTCCAAGTTGGTGATCTCACCCTGCTTGCAGTGGGGGAGATCAGAATGGTTGTTCAGAGGAGGCCATGTCTGAGCTGTCCTCCAGGCAGCAAAGCGGAGGGAGGTGTGTTCCTGGCAGCAGGGACAGCTTGTACAAAGACCTGGCAGCAGAACAGAATCTACAGTGTGGGAAGTTCAAGTAGTGTGATGCAGTTGGAGTGGAGAGTGGGTGTGGGACATGAGCGCAAAGGTGGGAGAGGGGGGCAGAGAATCCCTCTGGCTCCTGGGTTCAGTGAGAGCTGGGAGGATGCCATTCCCCACCTCTCTAGTGGAGACAGGAAGAAGAACAATTGGGAAGATGATGTTGAATTGGAGCTGAGCTGACCAGGAGCAAGGAGGGGAGGAGGTAGCTAGCTGGGAAGAGTCAGGCTGGAGGCACAGACAGATATAGAGGATGAAGAGAGGCCGAGGTAGATGAGGCCTGGAGATATCAGTCTCCACTTTGGGCCAAAAGCTGTCCCGAGAGCCGCTGCAGCCAGGCCAGCACTTCAGTACTTGGGGCTTCCCAGGAATGATGGGATGGGTGTACTCACAGCAGGCATCCTTGAGTATGACTTAGCACTAGACTCTTGGGCCTCCCTCCAGGGGACTGAGTCATCTCAGGCGGGGGCAGGAGCTGCAGAGGACACCTCTGCCAAGGCATCAGATGTTGTCGCGTATAAACAGGCTACAGTGAAGTGGCCCAAGGACTTAAGGACCACTTCTGGGTCTTGCCCAGTGGTCTCCACTCACTTGCAGCTTTCTCTTTTGGCCAATCCTCTGCCAGTCATGGTTGCGAGTCCTCTGCCTAACCCAATAGCTGGTCCCCTGCCTCTGCCTGGTGCTGTAGTATCCTTCCAGAACTCAGAATGAGACCTGAAGACACCTATGACTTCCATGCCTTCTGAAACCAGGAGCTTGCATACTTGGTAGTGGCAGACACTTGGTGGGATGGGGCACAGCCTGGGAGGAAAAGAAGCTTGTGTCAGGCCGTTTCTGAGCCAGGCATCCCATGTGGGTTCTACCTTGCATATTGTGGCTGGCTCTTGTTGCATACTCTCTCTCTCTCTCTCTCTCTCTCTCCCCCCTTTCCCTCTTCTCGCTCTCTGTCTCTGTCTGTCTGTCTCTGTCTGTCTGTCTGTCTCTCCCAGATGCATACACATCCCAGCTGTACAAACTGCTCTGTGTCCACAACCTCATCCACTTCCTTACAGGGCCTAGAGAGAAGGCAGGATGGTGACCATCTGTTTGATTTACTTCAGGGTAGCTGAGGTTCTCAGAAGCTTAGCATCCTGCCCAGGCAGCGTAGCCCCATATGGGAAGACAGAACAAGAGCTTTACCCAGTGAGTGAGGACCTGTGTTTGGGGCTTGCAACCTAGCCAGTCCCATGGGAGGTGGTCACAAGACTCCTTGCTGAGCCCTAAGTCTGGGACCAGCCTGTCTGTCCATCTCCCTGTTTGAGATCCATGAGACCCATGTTACCTTCTGAGTCAGTTTGTACAGAGCCATTTAGTGAGACCTCAACAGGGAAGGGTTTGGCGAAGCCTTTTGAGTGAGTGCCCTGGAAAACTCAGGTCAGCTGAGGCAGCCTCAAGCTGGTGGGACAGGAGATCTATGGGAAGTTTCATCTTGACCTATGGGACTGTGGGTGCATTCCCTTCTCACATCCAGAGCACATGTTCCTCCGAAAAGCATACAAGTGCATACAAACACACCACACACAAAACACACACAGCACAGAGACCACATGCAAAGCTTCTTGTCTCCATGCAGATTTGCTCCTTAGTACACACACAGTCAGTGTGCTTGGCCCACAGACCTGCTCCGATACATTCTCTCACACTCAGACACACGCCCTTTTCGTCTGCCCTCTCATGCACTGCCTCTGGTGCCAGGCATTGTCGCCTGGACACGCGGCAGGATCCCCCGGCCTCCCTCCCGACCTGCTTAGTCACCTGAATCTGAGCCAGGCAAGCAGGAGGGAGGGAGGAATGGAGGGCCTGACGTCAGCCCTCACTGCCTGCCCCTGCCCAAGCATCCATCTGGGCCCCAGCTTGTCCCAGACTCACATCTTACTTCTAGGAGCTTCTTTAATGTCTGAGTCTCTTGCAGACATCCATTCCTTTCTATCTTGCAGCCACCTGGGAGCAAGCAAGACTTTCTGTTTTCCCCATCTGCAGATGGGGCAAACTCAAGGTGCCAGGCTTGGGAAAATCCAAGCCTGTACACAGGCTTACAGCTAGAAAGGGGTGCAGCCTAGCAGCCCAGGACCTAAACTAAGTGACAGGTCTCAGACTTCCCCATCTACTATGGGACCCAAGGCCCTTCCTTGCCCCTTGCTAGGTTCCTTCATTCCCATCTGAGAAAGACAGTAAAGGAAGTTATAGGATGGTGGCTTCTTATGGAGGTAGCAACCTCAGGGAAATCATATGCAAATTTTATGGGCCTGGGTAGCCTGTGGCTTCTGCCTGTGGTGACTCTCATTCCCTTGGTCTCTGCCTGGGACTGGAGGTGGAGGATCTCCCGACCCTGTGCTCCCTAGGCTCCTACGGTCTGGCCCTGGGCTTGTCACTGATGCTGCCTTCCCATCTGTTTAATGTGGAGAGAACTGTAATGATCATCTTGCCATTTACTCATTTATTCAACAAATATCTACCAAGCTCTTACTATGTGCCAAGTGCCGCTGAAGATGCCAGAAATATTTATGGAGACAAGGCAAAAGGAGCCGCTCACCTGGTAGTGGGGAGCTAAGCCTGCAAGGGGAGGGGTGGGCGGAAGGAGAAGGGCTGATCACCTAATAGGAGGATTCCTGCCAGCTTTGGAGGCTCCTGTCAGGCTGGGTTTCCTCCTTTGCAAAGGAAATTTTCTCCTATTGCCAGGCTAGCTCTCTTTTCTTTTTTCTCTTTTTTCTTTCTTGCTGCCCAGCAGCAGCAGCTTCACTGCCCCTGGGCCCCCACTCATTCAGATCACTGTGTGCCAGGAAGAGGCTCTGACCCATGTCCTCACCCACAGTCCACCTCCAAGCCTGGTTGTGGCATGGGCAATCTGGCAAAGTCTGGCATCCATGGTGGAGGTGGGGGGCAGGTCAAGGCTCAGAGTGGAGAGGGAGCATGGTTGGTCAGCAGGCAGGACTAGAAACCAGCCCAGGCTCCACCATGTCAGCCCTACCTCCCTGACATCTGTCACAGTAAGGAATGGGGGTGAGAACTGAGGCAGTCATGAGACCCATGAGACACATGTTCTCTAGTTTACAGTGTGGAAACAGAGGAAGTCACCAGCAGACAGGAAGAGCAGAGGGCCAGGAGTCCACTCTTCCTCTTCCGGAGAAGAGGATGAGTCCAGCCCAAGAAGAAGGGGTGGGGACATTGGGCTGGAGTGGCACCAGTACCTAGTCTGAGGCACAGAAGAGGTCCCAGGGTGAGAGTGAGGATTCAGCCAGGGCCAAGGTCATAGTGTCAAGTAAGTGGTGTGTGGCTGATGCTGGATGTTGCTTTGGGGTTCAATCTTGGGCTACTGTTTGGCCTGGGACCTGGTTTGTTTTGCAGGAGGTTCTGGGTCAGTGTGAGGCCAGACTAGGGAACATCTCAGCCTGAGAAGATGTGGCACACAGTTTGGCACATGAGCATACTGAAGGAAAAAAAGCAAAAGTACAGATGATGATGTCTTGCTTGAAACCCTTAAAGCAGCACCTCCTCCTCCAGTGGACCCTGTCCTGGGCCTGAGGCACCACTGGGGAAGGCAGGGGTGTAGCCAGTTCTGCCTGTGGTCCTGGAAATGGTGAGAGGAGGTAAGAGAGACTGAGCTCCAAGGAAGTCTTTGTGAAGGATGAAAGGCCGGAATATCCATCTGGGAAACCTCCCTTTACAAAGTAACAAAACCTACAATACCAGTGTGGCCTGTTCATCACCAAAAGGAAGCCATAGTGGAACACTTTGCTGTCAGGGGGTGGGGCTGGTGAATCATCAGGCAGTGTCCCATTGGGCACTGAGCTGACCCTGGACTGTCTCAGTGCTACTTGGCTTCTAGTCTTCTGCCTGTTTGCTTGTTGTGACTCCAGAGCACCAGATTATCTGCTTCTCTATGAGGGCAGCATAGCAGAAGTGGCTGTGCCTGTTTTGCAGGTAGGGACACTGAGTGCTAGAGGGCTGGCACACACAAAGCTAAGTCCCCCGAGGTCCTTCAGTTCCCTGGTAGTAGTAATAGACTGTGAGTTTGGGTGCTGGCAGCGTGGGAAGAGGGAGTGACCAGAACAGAGGCATGGGGGCTGTGGCCACAATGGGAGCAGCACCCTGGTCAGATCTCCTGTTGGGACTTGCTTGGCATCCAGGAAGTGATACCCTCTCTACTATCTCCGAGGTTCCCAACAAGGCAACGCAGAGAAGCCCCAACGAAGGTCATGGAGGGGGGCCCAGCTGTCTGCTGCCAGGACCCTCGAGCAGAGCTGGTGGAGCGGATGGCAGCCATCAATGTGACCCATTTGAAAGAGGAAGATGGAAACCCAGAGCCTCCCAGGAATGGTGTGGACTCTCGGCCCCGGGCTAGAGCTGCTTCTGTGATCCCAGGCAGTGCTTCAAGGCTCCCCGCAGCACGACCCAGCCTCTCAGCTAGAAAGTTCTCCTTGCAGGAAAGGCCAGCGGGAAGCTGCCTGGAAGCCCAGGCTGGACCTTATGCCACAGGCCCTGCTAGCCACATCTCTCCTCGTGCCTGGCGGAGACCTACCATTGAGTCCCACCATGTGGCCATCTCTGACACAGAGGTTGGTGAAGCAGTGCTCATGAGCCCCCTAGGGAGCCTTCACCATTTTGTCCCTGTTTGTGCCATAGTTATCTAACATTGGTTTAAGCTGGGGAGCTCTTTATCTAACAGTGTGGCTTCATCCCAGGGAAGTTCCATCTCAACCAAAGGTTGCCTCTAGGAGGCCCATGTCCCCACCCCTGGCCAGGCCTGGAGAATAGGTCCCTTCTTTGTGAACTACTGGCTTGCACCTGTAATCCTTGATATTCAGGAGGATGAGATATGAGAATTCAGGTTCAAAGTCAGCCCAAGCAGGAAAGTCTATTATCTCCAATTAACTATTTTTTTAAAAAAGTAGAGGTATGGCTCAAGTGGTAGGTCATCAGCCTTGAGCAAAAATGCTAAGAAAGAATGCCCAGGCCCCTTTTCTTCCCATTACAGTCCTGCCTCCTAGAGTCCACTCTGGCCTGAGGCATTGTAGCATACCTCTAGCTTCCAGTCTCCTGTGGGTCCTAGCTTTGCCACTTGGATCTACACATGAACTTGGGAACTGAGGCATCCACAGATGTCAGAGACCCGATTTTTTTTGTGTGTGTGGGGCTTGAACTCTGGGCTTTGGTGCTATCCCTCTGCTTTTCAGCTCAAGGCGAGTGCTCTACCGCTTGAGCCACAGCGCCACTTCCAGTTTTCTAGTGGTTAATTGGAGATAAGAGTCTCACGAAGTTTTCTGCCTGGGCTGGCTTTGAACTGTGGTCCTCAGATCTCAGCCTCCTGAGTAGCTAGGATTACAGGCGAGAGCCCCTGGCACCTGGCTTAGAGACTTGATTTTTTTTTTTTGTTCCTAGACTTCATGTATCTCTCTTGTCCCTTCACACTCAGTTGCTTTTGGAAATGCTTGCTTGTTGGGTTTTCACAGAATAAGGTCTTCTCAATCCCAAAGCCCAGGCAAGAATCAGTGCATTTTTTTCTTTACCACTGAAGGGAGCCCAGCATAGTCAAGGCACACCCAAGCTGGGAAGGTTAGTGAGAACTGAGATTCTGGGAATTATAGTCTAGGGATAGGACTGTACCCTGAACAGGCTCCCATTGTGGGATCCATGTTGTCTCTGGATCAAGGTGTGCCTGATGCTTCCTCTTTTCCCCCAGGACTGTGTGCAACTCAACCAGTACAAACTGCAGAGTGAGATTGGCAAGGTAGGATTGGGCCAGGACAAGTGTAATGAGGGTGGTAGGGTTCTTGTCTTGATATCTTCCTCTTCTTTTGTGGTAAATGGAAATCAGAGCCTAGAATGCTCCAGCCTACATGTGGACAGTTTTGTCCTGGGAAATACCCAGCACCAAGAAGAAGATGACTCCTGTTCCTGATTCCCAGGGTTCTAGAGAGAGATTAGGAGGGACTGGAGCCATATTAAACCAGGCAAGGGCAAGTTCCCAGGGCAAAAGCATCCCCTCTCCATTGGCTGAAAATGTATGCTCACAAGTCATCTGGTAGGATGGGGTAGGGATGGGATGCAGGGGCAGGGACCAGAGCTGTCAGTCTGGCCATCTCCTATCTGGTCCTGGGGAAGGCGTCTTATCCAGGTGGGGCTAACCAGTGCCTGTCTACAGGGTGCCTATGGCGTGGTGAGGCTGGCCTACAACGAAAGTGAAGACAGACACTACGTGAGTGTGCAGTAGGAGGGCGGTGTTGCCAGGCTGGGCCCCAGAAACCTGAGTAGTGGGCAGAAGTATCGGGGTGATGATGAGAGCCTGTGACCTCTCAAAGGACAGGTTCCCTGTCCCTAAGGATATGCAAAGGGAATGAGCTTCCTGATCCTGGGGCTGTGCAAGCAGAGGCTGGCTTCCTCTGCAGGCAAGAAGAGTGAGGGCAACCTACACTCAGGTATGACTTATTCCTAACCAGTCTCATGCACGCTCAGTGCCAGTGGCAGATGCCCATTGTGCCTGTCTCAGTCCCCATGGAATCAGCCTGTTCAGCTCCTTGTGGCTGCACATAGTGACATTTATGTCCCTCTCTCCTTAGGCAATGAAAGTTCTTTCCAAAAAGAAGCTACTGAAGCAGTATGGCTTTCCTCGTATGTACCTGTCTGCCCTATTCTTGGGAGCTCTTAGCCTGCTAGGGGAAGAGGAGTGGATCCGCTCATAATTAGTCTTGTTAGAAACAAGAGTAGAGGGAAGCAAAGGCTTGGGAATGGGATGTAGTTGGTGGATTGGGAGGGGATCACCGTCTTGCCTTTTGCAAGTCTTGCTTGAGACAGGTTGCAGGCTGAGGCAAAGCCTGGCTCATAGAACAGTGGTCTGACTCTCTTTCGGGTCACAGGTCGCCCTCCCCCAAGAGGTTCCCAGGCTTCCCAGGGAGGACCAGCCAAGCAGCTACTGCCCCTGGAGCGGGTGTACCAGGAGATTGCCATCCTGAAGAAGCTGGACCATGTGAATGTGGTCAAGCTGATCGAGGTAGGAGGTTGTGGTAAGCAAGCCGAAGCTAGCATGCATGTCCTGGGTTTAACATGAGCAGTTCCTGGGCAGGGAGGTGCTTGGCATAGATTTAGGGTCCTGCTGAGGGAGCAAGTGTGGCTAGACCCTCTGCCCCCAATAACAATTCAGACTTGGGAAGGACTACAGGAAGGCATGAGGGCCATTCAGATTGGCCAGACGTGTTCTCACGGAGGGTCAGGAGCTGCTGCTCCAGTGGCAAAAATTAGTCCATCCTTCCCATAGGAAGTAAGAAGAGCCAGGTGCCATATTCATGTGGGTTCGGTTACTGCTGCAGTCCCATCCGTTTGGCACCTGTACAGTTGCTGGTCCATATCTGGGGTGGGCTCTGAAGTGTATTAGACATCCCGGGGCTAATAGCGACCAGAAGCCTGGGTCCGGACCCCATGTCTCCTCAAACCTCAACCGTGTGTCTTTTTACCAGGTCCTGGATGACCCAGCTGAAGACAATCTCTATTTGGGTGAGCAACCCAGCTTTATTCCTACTGCAGAAGAAAATAATGGTGATAATGCACCCATAGGGTGCTGTCAGAAGAAAATCAGCTAGTATAGGCAGAACATATTACTTATTATCCTTATTAGAATTGCTGTTCTTTAAGTTTCTCATGCCTGCTTTACAGCTGGTTTAGAAGAGGCCTGAAAAAGTGGGGCAGAAGGAGAACTGGCCTAGGAATTAGAGGACAGGGCTTTAGTTTTTTCTCCCTGTCTTTAGTCTTTACCTGCCTGTCTGCTATGACCTTTAGGAAATTTTCTGACCAGGGAGCTGAGAATGTGGCTTAGTGGTAGAGTGCTTGCCTAGCATGCAGAAGCCCAGACTTCAATCTCATCCAGTTACTTCCTCTGATATCTTGAGACCCTGTCCTGTCCCACCCTGAGTATGTCTCAGTGCCTGTCCCTTCTCCATCCTTAAGAACAGGAATGGACCTTGGCAGTGAATGCTGTGCCAGCTTAGCTATATCTTACTTTCTTTTCTTTTCTTTCAGTGTTTGACCTCCTGAGAAAGGGGTGAGTTTCCCATCTGATCAGGCTGGTCACTTGTAATCCAGTTCTCCTTTTTTCCCTCTCTGTGGCCCCTAGCCCAAGGGCCAGCTACTTCAGGAGATATCAGAGTCTTAGACCTTACCTTCACAAGCTCTGGTCTTTGTGGTAAATAAGAGACTAAAAGGACTTTTCTTTGAAGTCTGGTGGGGGTTGCAGGCTAGAAGTCAGAGAGGTCTCTGGAAAGAGGTGTGTGTGTGTGTGTGTGTGTGTGTGTGTGTGTGTGATTGTTTGGATGGAAGAAGGGGAAGAAAGCAATGTTTTTAAGCAAAGTATAGAGGTAGATTCAAATCACAAAAGCATTTTTCAAGTTTTACTAAGTGAGAATTTATGAGTAGAGTGCGTGGGACTCTCTTTGCTCCCGTTTATGAGAGGGAAAGTTAAGGAGCACTGGATAAATGGATTGCTCAGGGTTATACAACATATCGCCATGGAACTGGATGGACTGGGAGTCCTTTTGAAGGAAAGCTGTATCTTGTCTCTGTTTGGGGGCTTTCTTAAAGTTCAGTTTGGGGAGGGGGACAAGGAGTGGTGTCTCTTGAAGACCCAGAGGTTTTTGCCTCCATTCAAAACCAAGAAATATATGTGTATATAGCTATCCATCTCTGTAATGGAACCCTATCTATTTTAACTATTGCAGTTGCCACCCAGTAAATTGATTTCATGACTCTGTTGGATTCACAGTTTGAAAAACATTGCTTTAAATGGAATCTTTGCAATTGTTTGATTATAGATACTTTTAAATGCTTAGAAGACACATAAACCAAGGGAAAATAAGATAAAGCTGATTGGAAATTAGGATTGAAAAGTGATATTTTTACATTTTCATGACATGAGAACAACCCTAATATCAGGTTAGCAAGGGGGCTCTGGAGGTCGTGGGGGTGGGGGGCTGTGTAGACACACACACACACACACACACACACACACACACACACACACACACACACACACACACACACACAGCTCCTCCAATCCCCCTGAGCATCCCTCCCCTGCTCCTACTCCCCCAACCTCCCCAGGCCGGTCATGGAAGTGCCTTGCGACCAGCCTTTCTCCGAGGAGCAAGCTCGCCTCTACCTGCGGGACGTCATCTTGGGCCTCGAGTACTGTGAGTGTGGGCGCCCGCCTTCTGGGGTTGGAGCTGTCAGAGATCATCTGGAGCCTGCCTTGCCTAGGTTCAGTAGCAGCGCCTAGGTCTGGCAGGCCCGGTGGCTCCTTTTGCCCAGAGCTGACCTGCCAATCAGCTGTCACGGAGGCCGGGCGGGGTGTATGGGCGGGGCCATGGCTCACTTCACTGGGCATGCGCCAAGTCCCTTGCGCCTCCGGGGTGTTTTTCCCTTATCTTTCTTCCGAGGCCAAGTTTAGCCTCTCCCTAGGCCTCAAAAGATATGGGATGAATGAGATTTACGCCCTGCTGCCTGGGGAAAGAGTGTGCCTGGCACAGTGCCCGTTTGTGAGTGGTGGTAGGGTGGGTTTACCCTTAAGGTGAGGAGAACTGGCCGGGGGTGGGGGGAAGCGATGCCACCGCAGCTTCTATGTCAGGAATTAGTTGACTCATTTGCTTATTTATTTCGTTTCCTTCATTCACTTATAAGTACCATCTCTGTGTTGGGGTGGAGATTCCCCCATCTGACTCCAGGAGTTTCACATCCCAGAACTTAAGTAGGCAGATGTTTTGGGGTGGTGCCTGGCAAAGCTGGGGAGGTCCTGGGGGCAAGGGAGGATAGAGAGCAGTTCCTTTTGGTTGACTCATCCAGTGGGCAGGAGATAGTGATTGATGAATGATGCTGGACACTGCCCAGGTCACACCGGGAGGTCTGGGAATGCCTCTGCAGGATGTGTATGACTGCCGCCTGTTGTGAGGCCCCTGCTCCAAGCAGGGGAGGGGCACGGTGGGATTGGAGTCTTCATCCATCTGAATCTCTGGCAGCTGGGTGGAGGGTGATAGACGGCCAGCTGGCCAAGGAGAAAGCTATTTCTATAGCCCAAGTGACAGATGGTGGAACTGGGATTAGGGTAGTGGCAGTGGGGGAGGGATATGAAGGAGGCAGGGTGGCCACGTGGGGTGACAGGTGTACGTACAGGAGGTGCTCCCAGACATCTAGGATTCCAGCCTGGGTTGGGGACTATAGGTAATGCCTTTCTGTCTAAAATCTTGGCTTTTTGGAACCAGATTCTCCTTAGGGGAAAAGGGTGGAAGCCTAGCAGAGGTGTGACCTATAGGAACAGGAACAGGAACAGAACCAGAGCCTCTGATATCCTCAGCTTAATGAGGCACGTGGAGGAGATAGTCTATAGCAGGTGCCTAGAGTTGTTTGGTAGGAGGGGAGATTTTGCCTTGGCTGTGGTCAGCAACAGGCACAACTCTACCAAACTGTGGCTCCACCTTCTTTTTTATTTGAATCCTTCTCATCTGCCGAGGGCCTGTTGTCTGTCATCCTCTATCCCCTGCAAAAGAAAGGGCATCCTTTAGTCAAGAAAGGGTTCTTGACTAAAACCTCTTCAAGACCCAGCTGATCACAGTGAAGTAACTCTCTGGAGCTGGTGGTTAGTACAAGGGGTTTGATAGGTAGATGAACAGGCCCTGGGGTGCTGTGATTCTGGCCCCAGGAAGGAAAACTGAAGCTGCCCAAGATCTGATTCTCAGATGGGGTCAGGTGCATCAGGGGAGGTGATGAGATGCAGTTGGATCTGGGAGTGGGAGAAAGGATATCTATATATCTATCCATAGATCTAGATTTATCTATCTATAGATAGAGATATTCCCTTATTGCATTCCTTCCTTTTCTTCCTTTCTTCTTGTCTCACTATATATATCCTACGCTGGCCTCGATCCCTGATCCTCTTACTGTAACAACCTTCAAGTAGCTGTGATCATGCCCAGCTTAGAATATATTTTGAACTTGAGTTTCCAGGGCTACTTGATGTGAGGTCTGCAGGGAGGAGAATCTTTAGGTTTCTGAAACCTGGTGACATGATGTCTTTAAGGGAATGGGAAAGACTTGGGGTGGGGGGACATGGGCTTTCTCTTTTGCTTGCATTTGTTGGTGGTGAGGGTTGCAGACAGAGAAGCCAAAATCTGAATTAGACATGTTATTGCAATATATTGGAGATGCTTTGATCTAGCTGTCCATTGTGATATCTGTTGTATAACCCATCTGGATAAAGAGTCTGGAGTTTAGGGGCAAGGCTAGCATTTGAGAAAAGAACTTGAAACCAATTTCTATGGCTAAATAATGCAGCTCCGTGAGCGTAATTGCTCTGGTGGGTGTATAACATGTTTCCTGTGCCTGGAACATAGTAGGCAGTCAGTGAGGGGCCATTGGTATTGTGTCTATTGGTGGAGTTGCTCTCTCCCTCTTCCCTTAGCCTTATTATCCTCAGCTTCCTTTCCTTTTTTTCACTCCTTTCCTGTCTTCCTCCTTTTCTTCACCCTGGGTCTGTTCATCTAGCAGGGGTGGGGGGCCTTTTTTCTGTCAAAGGTCGTAACATCATTGCGGCCATACGAAGTTATCAATATAGGCAGACAGCCATGGGCAGCTCACATGACGCATTCAAAAAGCAGATATGTTTGTCATATCATTTACCAAGTGATTTTAGGGGACCCACTGGCTGAACATTCCTTACCCCTGGCTCAGGGAAGGCTTTTGCTGAGTAGGGGCCTACAGTGGATGGTTGGGGGATGGGGTCAGTGCCTTCTCTGTGCTGGAACATTTTTGGTCATCTCCACTTGAGTGCCCTTTCTGGCAATGATGGACCCTGGAAGCAGAGGCTCATGGCCTGCTAAACTAGGTTCTGATATAGCTTTATCTTCCCGAAAATGGTTGACCCTCACCCTAGGTCTATTTATCCTGGTGGTGCCAAAATCTGGAATGTCTTCCTTTTCTAAAAATCCCACATCTCAGATTCATAGGAATTAGAAGTATATCTGTAAGATACCACAGTCCCCACAGTCCAACGTGGTCCTAGGAGCAGAGATGTCTTTGTCCAGGATAGGTGGGGATGAAACTGCAAAGTGGTGCTGCAGGCATCATTCAAGTGGGAGTGAACCATGAGGGCCTATGGAGAATCCTCTCCCTCCCCAGTTTCCCCTGACCTCCTTCCTCAGTATCAGGTGCTGTGTTTGTCATAGACCTGGAGTCCAAAGACTCATAAGATCACCATCCCGGCTCTGCTGCTAACTCCTTGGGCTGAGCTTCACTATGTAGTAGTTTAGGTAGCCCTGCTGTCCTCTTCTGAGGTCTTTACAAGATGAGAGTGTGAGGTCTGTGATGTGCCCTGACTTCCCTGGGCAGACAAGGTCAGGAGGGAGATTCTGGGCAGTGGTCCTCAGGCCAGCATATCAACTACTTCTCTCTGCAGTGCACTGCCAGAAGATTGTGCACAGGGACATTAAGCCATCCAACCTGCTCCTGGGAGATGATGGGCACGTGAAGATTGCTGACTTTGGTGTCAGCAACCAGTTTGAAGGGAATGATGCTCAGCTGTCCAGCACGGCGGGGACTCCAGCATTCATGGCCCCTGAGGCCATTTCTGACTCCGGCCAGAGCTTCAGTGGGAAGGTGACTCCCAGGGCTTGGGTTACATTGGGGTTCAGATAGAGGTACAAAAAAGCTTGCAGCAGGGGCCGGTTTCCAAACAGAGGGATATCAGGGTCCTTGTTTCTAGGAAATGACATTACCTATTCTATGAAGCCTGACTCACTCCCCAAGCTTGGCTTTCTCATATTTTCCAGCAAAAAATGGTCCCAACCTCCTCTACACACGTTCCTGCCAGTTGAGCTGTGCTGAGTTGTGGAATAGGCAGCGACCCCACTCCCTACCTTCATGGTACAAAAGGACAGGAGAATTGTAGTCAGGAGAAGGTGAAAGTGCCCTTTGACCTTCAGAGAGTGGAGAGGATTTGCAAGGGGACCTAGGGGTACAGGGCTGGGCAGGGTTTTAAGGACCTGGACATTCGGGCTTCCTCCTGAGTGACAGATGCAGTAGGCAAAGCCTCCTGAGAGGGACCTGCAGCCAGCGTGTTCCTTGGGTCCAGGCCTGGCCTCACCTATGGAGTTCAGTGCCAGTTACAGCCATACCACAGAGGGAAGGGAAAAAACCTGCTGAGTATAGATGAGGTGTGAAGCTCAAACAGAGCGCAGGGATGTATGTTTTGGGTTGTTGTTATTGTTGTTTGTTTGATTGATTGATTTTGATGGTACTGGGGTTTTGAACTTGGATCCTCACACTTTCTCAGGCAGGCATTCTTACTGCTGAGCCATGCCTCCAACCCTAATTTTTGCTCCTTATTTTTAAGATATGGTCTCGCTTCCTGCCTGGACTTGATCCTGGGAAAGATCCAACTATATTAGGCTTCCTGGTATCTAGGAAAACAGGCACCCACTACCATGCTCAGCTCTTGATTGAGAGGGCTTTTGTGAACTTTTTTTCTACCTGGGCTGGTCTTGATCCCAGCTACTAGATCCAAGGTCCCTAACTACTTGTGAAAGTTGTTAGGATTATAAACATTATCCAGTGGCACCCAGCTGAAGATTATTTTTTAAACTTTTTATTTTGGGCTAGGGTATAGCTCAGGTAGAACAGTTGCCTAGCATGTGTGAAACTCTGGATTTGATCCCTAGCACCACATAATAAAACAATAACATTTTATCTTGATATAATTCCAAATATACAGAAAACTTATAAGAATGCTACAAAGAAATCCCATGTAACTTTGCCCAGGTTTACCAGTTGTTAATATTTTGGCTAATTTTTCTTTTCTTTTCTTTTTGTCGGTCATGAGGCTTGATCTCTGGACCTGGGCGCTGTCTCTCACTCTTCAGCTCAAGGCTAGCGCTCTACTACTTGAGCTACAGCGTGCCACTTCGGGTTTTCTGAGTGGTTTATTGAAGATAAGGGTCTCACGGACTTTCGTGTCCCAGCTGGCTTTGAATCCTGATCCTCAGATCTCAGCCTCCTGAGTAGCTAGGATTACAGGCCTGAGCCACTGGTGCCCAGTTTAATTTTTCTTTTCATATATCTTTTTCAATTTCTTTTTTGTTAGTCATTGGGCTTGAACTCAAGGCCTAGGCATTGTTCCTGTGCCTTTTCCCTCGAGGCTAGCACTCTACCACTTTGAGCCACAGCTCTACTTCTGGTTTTCTGGTAGTTACTTAAAGATAAGAGTCTCAAGGATGTTCCTGCCTGGGCTGGCTTCGAACTGCAATCCTCAGACTTTAGACTCCTGAGTAGCTAGGATTACAGGTGTGAGTCACTGGTGCCCAGCTCCTTTTTCAATTTCATTTTTCTGAGCCATTTGAAAGTTAAGTTGGAGACTATGTCTCTTAAGACTCTATACTATAGTACATGTTTCCTAAGAATAAGGGCATTGTCTTACATAACCTAGTACAATGGTCAAGGTTGAGGAATTTATCACTGGTAAGACTTGTTATATAGCCAGGCACCAGAGGTTCATACTTGTAATCCTAGCTACTCAGGAGGCTGAAATCTAAGGAACATGGTTTGAAGCCAGCCCAGGCAGAAAAGCTCCTGTGAGACTCTTATCTCCAATAAACCATTTAAAACAGTTAACTAGCAAAAAAAGCCTTGAGTGAAAAAGCCAAGAGCACCAGGCCCTGAGTTCAGATCCAAGCGGGGCAAGCAGGGCTTCAATGGATAGGGGATGCTTTTTGTGTCAGGAAGCAGGAAGTGGGGGTTGGAGATAGCTTCTTCAGTGGATTAGTATGAGAAAGGTCGGCGCCTGGAAGTTAGAGCTGGTTTATTGAGTAGAAGTTCAATACACACAATAATTTCTGGGGAACATCTATGTCATAGAAGCAGCAAATGTGACTGGATAAAGGAAGCTTTGAATATTTTGACCTAAAAAACACATCTGCCTTCCCCAAGGAGGCTTAGAACCCCTGGAGGGCAGCAGCTCTCTTGTAGTCATGATGGAGTCCTCAGTACTCAATAGAGGGCCCAGCATGGACCAAGGATCGGGGAATTTTGTTGAGTAAACACTTGATGGAAGGAGGGTCACCATAGCCCACTGAGCTTTATGTACTAGGGGAAGGCAGTGTTCACTGGGAACTGATGTGAGCATGCTCTTTTTTCTAGGCCTTGGATGTATGGGCCACTGGAGTTACTCTGTACTGCTTTGTTTATGGGAAGGTGAGTGCTGGGGGGTTGGAGGGACAACACCTGGGACAGCCCAAAGTCCTGGTCCCAAGGCTGGGCCCAGAGAGCCAGGTCTGTGTGACAGATGCAGGCCCTTCCCTGAGACTCCCTAAGACTCAGGACTGAGGGAGAAGAGTTTCTTTCTTCTTCTGTTTTTCTCTCATCTCCCTGGGGATGGGAGGGAGCACTGTGGAGTTCCAGTATAGCAGGCATCTGAGAGGAGCAGTCAATGATGGTGTTGCGACCTTTCCAGCCAGAGTGGCCCCATCCCTCTCCCTTGATGCTGTCCGTTTATCCATACATTCATGCAACCGAGTATCTTTTACTTATGCTCTGGGTCAAACTAATCCTTGGGAACATCCAACTTTGATTTGACCAAGATCTCTGCCAATGTTTGGCTCAGTTCTAGTGACCACACTGGGGGACAGCAGGGGATCTTGGCAAACACATTCCAAATGCCAGTCCTTGGGAGCAAAGGCCTTGCTCACCCAATTGTACCACCAGCAAGTGTAGGGAGCCTCAGAGTTCCCCCATAAAATTACGTGTTGGGTTTTATTTGTTGAACCCTGCTTCATGCAATGCCCTGAACAAATTTAGATGAAGTCCCTCCAAGTAGATGCAAGAGTAGCTAGGGACCGTGACAGCTCCCTGCTATCCCCAGCACCCCACTTCCTCCCAGCAGTTTGTGGCCTTGCAACTACAACTCCTCTCTGCCTTTCCATTCCACAGTGCCCCTTCATTGATGAGTACATCCTTGCCCTGCATAAGAAGATCAAGAACGAACCTGTGGTTTTCCCGGAGGAGTGAGTTGTGCACCCAGGGAACCAGAGGGCTCTGCCCACTCCTGGGGAGGAGTATCTGACTTTTAGCAGAGCTTTTGCCCTTTGAGGACCACACCCCAGCCTGCAGAGTTGCAGGTGGGGATGCTGATCCCAGGGAGGGCATCTGGGCAGGTGGAGAGTAGAACTCTTTTTTGTGTGTGGGTCTTGAACTCTGGGCCTGGGCACTGTCCCTGAGCTCTTTAGCTCAAGGCTAATGCGCTACCACTTGAGCCACAGCACCACTTCTGGTTTTTTGGTGATTAATTGGATATAAGAGTTTCACAGACTTTACTGCTTGGGCTGGCTTTGAGCTGTGATCCTCAGATCTCAGCCTCCTGAGTAACTAGTATTAGAGGCGTGAGCCACTGGTACCTGGCAAAAGCAGAACTTTTTTTTTCTTTTTGGTCGGTCGTGGGGCTTGAACTCTGGGCCTGGGCACTGTCCCTCAGCTCTTCAGCTCAAGGCAAGCGCTCTACTGCTTGTGCCACAGCACCACTTCCACAAAAGCAGAACTCTTGAGTGGAGGGTTTCCAAATATAGGAGTTGTATCTCATTGGATAGATGGGACCGCTAAGCCTAGAGTTCATTGGTATTGGCCCCAGGTCAGGCATTCATAGCACAGCTTCATTGAAGGCCAGCCTGGGTCAGCAGTTAACTCCACACAGCTTGTGACCCCAAGAGGAACTTCCACATACCAGAGTGCTGTCCATTTTGCAGGTAGACAAGCAGAGGCCTGGAGGAGAACTGAATTTGAGAGCTGGGATTGGATTTGAAGGCCCCTCCTCTCTGCTCCCTTCCCTGAGCCCAGGGGCTGGTCTGAGGGCTCCTTGATCATACCTGCTTCTTCAGATGTTTTGGCTGTTGTGGCTTCAGCCTACCTCCCTGACTTCTTATTTTTAGAACCTTCTACCATCAGTGGGAGTGACCAGGGTGGGACAGCAACTGAAATGGGAGTTGTCCTCTGATTCTTGCCCTTTTGCACCCCCTGCCTGTCTGGTCCCCAAGTTCTGTCAAGCCCATCTCTTACTTGTCTTCAAGCCCCAGTTTCTTGTGCCCCTGCCTAGTTCAGGCCTCAGCCTCTCTCCCCACACTTCAAACCATCGCTTCTATGGCCCTCACCTCTCCATCCAATACAGGCCTGGTGAGTTTTGCTTAAGCACAGTGAGTCTGACTAGCTTATGCTTAACATGGTCCAAGGCCACAGCATTCAAGAACATTTGGATTTTGTGACTCTGACACTACCCAACTGGATTCAGTCCAGTTCCTACTATCCTTTAGTTTCCTGGCTCCTAGTATTTCTTCCTACTGTGCCTCCTGTTTGAGAGTCCCTCCTGGGACCTAGGAGTTTTTAGAGACAAGGAATTTTTAGGGACTAGGAGTTTTCAAAGACTTAGCATCTAAGATAGCAGAGAGAAGCCCCCAAAATTCATACCCCTCTCCAGTTTTGGACAGATGGGTGCTCCAGGAATGGCAGCAAAGAAGCTGTGTTTAGGCAAGGAGATATACTGGCTGCCATTAGATTGGCAGTGCTGTTCTCCTCTTCTGAGTTTCTTCTCCCTGCCCACACTCGCTTGAGTGGCAATATAGCAACCTACTATCCTTGAGCCTAAGTGTCCCTCAGTTAGAGAGAGGAACTTTCCTGACCATATACAGGTGGAGGGAAGAGTGAGAGTGAAGGCCTCCACTGTCTTCTCGTCCATGTGAGGAGGAGTGCGGGCTGAGTGTCAGAACCCAGGGCAAGAAGGAAGGGGGTTCTCATTAGTGTACCTGTGTCTTTATTCTTCCCCTGTCTAGGCCTAAGGTCAGCGAGGAGCTCAAGGACTTGATCCTGAAGATGCTGGACAAGAATCCTGAAACAAGAATTGGGGTGCCCGATATCAAGGTCGGGGGACAGGAGGCCTTGAGCTGGGCTGGGACACACAAAACAGGCTTGTCTCCCCTTCCTGAGATACTGCCCTGGGACATGAAGTGCCTTGGGTTTTAGGTTTGGGGTTTTGGGTTTGTGGGCTTTGGACTATCTCAATGTCGTTGCCGGTAGGATGTCTTTGATCCTTGCTGATTGGGTATCTTACCACTTACAGCCCTAGCCTCTCTTTTCTTCTGGCCTCCACAGTTGCACCCCTGGGTGACCAAACATGGGGAGGAGCCCCTGCCCTCAGAGGAAGAGCACTGCAGTGTGGTAGAGGTGACTGAGGAGGAAGTAAAGAACTCAGTCAAGCTCATCCCTAGCTGGACCACAGTGGTAAGATCCTTCTGGGAGAGTCTGAAGCGGGCATGTGTACTGCTTGAACTTGTTCTGTGCTTGGACCTATTGGGGGCATGGAGGGCACCTGGCTTGAAGCCTTGGTGACCCCTGCTTGCTGAAGGCCTGTAGAGCGAGGGTGTGTTATGGAGTCTGAGCCTTGTGGCCTGCATATGGAAGGCTTGGTGAGGAGAGTGAATGACTTAGAACTTACAAGTCTTGCTGAGGCCAGAAAGCTTGCAGAGGCTGAATTGCTTTTCCCTGGGCACTGCATGGATATCCAGGCTGTGACAGTGAAATGTTCTGAGGCCTTCTAGAAGCAGCTCCAGACACCACAACCACCCTCTCAGGAGCCAGAGCTGCCGAGTGTGTCCCGGTGTCCCAGGCCTTAGTTCCTCATGCTGTCATGTGCTCCCCAGATCCTGGTCAAGTCTATGCTGAGAAAACGTTCCTTTGGGAATCCATTTGAGCCCCAGGCACGCAGGGAAGAGCGTTCCATGTCTGCTCCAGGGAACTTAGTGACGTATGTACTGCGGGCCTGGTCTGTGGGCTGCTTCCTGGGATGGGTTGGGCCACTCTTATGGGGCTGTCCCCAGAGCCTGGAGATGAAGCTGAGTCTTAGAATAGGGCCCCAATTGCACCTCTGCCCTCAAGATGAATTGGAGCTAGAAGGGACCTTCCTGGGCCACCCCTGCCCCAAGCTGGGCCTAGTGTCCTAATGTACACCCTGCCTTCCATGGCACAAGAAGAAGGACCTTCCTTCTCATGGACGCTTGATGCTGTCACATTCTACCATAGGATCCTATTTAGCCATCTGGCTCCCTATCTGTGACTCCCTCAGTCCCTGGCAGCCTGACAGAGGTTTGCAGTGTCCATGCCTTGTAGAGGTTGGCTCATTCATGGAAAGTAGGCCCTGGAATGGGTGTTGGCTACATTAAGAATAGCCTTTGTGGGGCTGGGAAGGTGGCTCAGTGGTAGAGCGCTTGCCTTGAATGCATGAGGCCCTGGATTCGATTCCTCAGCACCACATAAGCAGAAAAAGCCGGAAGTGTCGATGTGGCTTAAGTGGTAGAGCGCTAGCCTTAAGCTGAAGGGCTGAGGGACAGTGCCCAGGTCCAGGCTCAGAGTTCAGGCCTCATGACTGACAAAAAAACAAAAACAAAAACAAAAAAAACAGTCTGTGTCACCTTTGGCTGGCACTTTGCGAATGCTGTTCTTTGCAAGGCCACATGGATAGGCTGAGCCTATAGAAGAGGACCCACTGTTCCCTGAGGGCTTTTCTGTGAGCTACATATCTGAGTTCATCACTTCCTAGGAGAGCCCAGAAAAGCAGTCCACAAACACTGAGCCTCCTTCTCATTCTCAGATTTTCCACTATAATAAAAGTCAGCTTAGGATTCCAACAAGGCTGTTGGAGTTGTGCACGGATCTGCAGAGAGATCCATGTGGTCCTGAGCCACAGCGTGGTCTCGGGTGGTGCTCACTTCCTTTGTCTGGCCTGTGAAGGGTACTGGCAAGCGAAGGTTAGCGGAAGCTGAGTTCAAGCTTGCTTTGTGATGAGCGTGTTCCACAGAAAGGTGTCTGTAGCTATCAGCCCAGCCTCTCAGAAAACAGTTCTTTCCTTTGTGTCCTTCCAAGGAATGTCCTCATAATAGCAAGGGGTAGAACCTAGGAAAGGCCTGACAGGGAGCTGTAGTTTTCCATTTCTTCAGAAAGGTGGTCAAGAATCAGGCACATTGTCTCTTGAGCTCATTAGGTCTCAGGGCTTTGATGCTACAATTGCACATGGCATAGGAGAATCCTACAGAACTTGACAAAGGAGCCAGTTCTGAGAGCAATAATCACAACAGGACAACAAGCAGTTCAGGGCCATCTGGTCAATCCAGGGATGCCTTTGGCCTGGCGCCCCCTAATGGCAAGACAATCCAGCCACAGGTTAAGAACACTTGTACCTAATTTGTATCCTGACAATTGATCATTCAAGATTGACTAAGTCACCCAGGGGCCCGTGGCTCATTCCTGTAATCCTAGCTGCTCAGGAGGCTAAGATCCGAGGATTGAGGTTCAAAGCCAGCCCAGGAAGGAAGGTCTGTAAGACTATTATCTCCAATTAACCACCAGAAAACAGGAAGTGGCACTGTGGCTCAAGTGGTAGAGTGCTAGCCTTGAGCTGAATAGCTGAGGGACAGTGCCCAGGCCCAGAGTTCAAGCCCCATGACTGACAAAAAAAAAAAGAGAGAGAGATTGGCTAAGTCCCTTGCAGCCATAAAAGTCTATAATTGAATTTTTAACTATTGTTATTTTAATACCCTATATTAGTTGTAAAAAAGGGTTTCGTTGTGACAGTTCCATAAGTATATACAATACACCTTGATAATGATCACTGTTACTCCCACAAATCCCTTTCTACCTCCCTGCCAGTTTTTGCAACTTCAATGAGTTGCACTGTGCTGTTTTCACATACATACACAATGTAGTTAAGCATATTATTCCCCCCCATCACCCTGTCCTTTCTCCTCCTCCACTCTGAGTCCATACCAGTTAGTCTACCTTTTACATTTGTTTGTTCATATTAAGCCTAGATTCCTCATATGTGAGAAAACATATAACACTCAACTCTCTAAATCTGGAATTTTTTTTCTATTTAACATCATGATTTTTAGTTCTACCATTTTCCTACAAATGTCATAAATTTATAATTTCATATAAATAATAATCCTCCATAAATTTATAATTCCATATAAATAATGATCCTCCATTGTGTGTATATACCACATTTTCCTTGACCATTCATTGGTTGGTGGACACCTAAGATGAGTCCATAGCTTGACTGTTATGAATAGATGTGTGTATTTGGGTAGATCTGTTGTATGCTGACTTACATTCCTTTGGATAGGGTTTCCTCAGTATTTCATGGTTTTTATTGAAGAGATCTTTTACCACCTTTGGTTTTTCCTAAGTGTTTGCTTTTTTTTTTTTTTTTCAGTCATGGGGCTTGAACTCTGGGCCTGGGTGCTGTCCCTCAGCTCTTCAGCTCAAGGCTAGCACTCTACTAGTTGAGCCACTTCCAGCTTTTTCTGCTTATGTGGTGCTGAGGGAGTTGATGTCTTGTTCCTGATTTTAGAGAAAATGCTTTCAGTTTTTCCCATTTTAGTGCAATATTGGCTATAGGTTTATCTTATATAGCCTTTATTATGTTGAAATATGTTACTTCTGTTTCTTCAAAGGTTTTATTATGAAGACATGGGGTTTGTCAAGGCTTTTTCTTCATTTCTTAATAATCATGATTTTTTTCCTTAATTTTCCTTTATCTTTTTCTTTTTTTCTTTTTGGTCAGTCATGGGGCCTGAACTCGGTCTGGGCGCTGTCCCTCACCTCTTCAGCTGTAGACTAGTGCTCTACCATTTGAGCCTCAGCCCCACTTCCAGCTTTTTCTGCTTATGTGGTGCTGAGGAATCAAACCCAGGGCCCCATGCATGCAAGGCAAGCACTCTACCACTGAGCCACCTTCCCAGCCCCTTTTCCTTAATTTTATGTGTGTCATATGGTGTTTGTTGAGCTTTATATGTTGAAACATTCTTGCATCCTTAGAATGAAACCAGCTTATGATGCATATGTACCTGTAGTATGTGTGTATGTGTGTGTGCATGTGTATGTATTTGTGCATGTTTATGTGTCTGTGTGGTTTTTATTTTTGTTTTGTGACAGTACTGGAGCTTGAACTCAGGGCTTTTGTTTAGCTTTTTTTGCTCAAGATTGGCTCTATCACTTGAGCTACTCCTCTACTTCTAGCTTTTTGCTGGTTAATTGGAGATAGAAGTCTCATGGCCATGCACTGGTAGCTCACGCCAGGAAACTGAAATCTGAGGATTGTGTTTCAGAGCCAGCCCAGGCAAGAAAGTCTGTAAGATGCCGGGCGCTGGTGGCTCACGCCTGTAATCCTAGCTACTCAGGAGGCTGAGATCTGAGGATCGCGGTTCAAAGCCAGCCCGGGCAGGAGAGACCATGAGACTCCTATCTCCAATAAACCACCAGAAAACCAGAAGTGGCGCTGTAGCTCAAGTGGTAGAGCACTCGCCTTGAGCTGAAGATCTGAGGGACAGCGACCAGGCCCAGAGTTCAAGCCCCACGACCGACAAAAAAAAAAAAAAAAAAAAGAAAGTCTGTAAGATTCTTATCTCCAGTTAGCCACCAGAAAACCAGAAGTGGCTCTGTGGCTCACGATGGTAGAGCCTTGAGAAAAAAGAGCTCAGGGACAGCACCCAGGCCCATGACCATGCCTGGGCTGGTTTTGAACTGCAATTCTTGGATCTCAGCCTCTTGAGTAGATAGGATTATAGGCATGAGCTATTAACACCTAGCCCTATTGAATTTTGTTTTCAAGTATTTTATTGAGAATTTTTTGCACTTATGTTCATTAAAGACAAGTCTCTTTCCCTTTTCTCTCTTTACCTACATACACATGTGTGTGTCTGTATGTATATATATATATTTTTTTTTTCTTTTCCTTTACTGTCCTTATCCAGTTTGGCATCAGAGTATAATACTAGCTTCAAGGAATGAGTTTGGTAACATTCCTTCCCTTTCTCTTTTATAGAGTATCTTGAGGAGCATTAGTATTAGTTCTTTAATGGTTTGATTGAATTCAACAGTGAAACCATCTGGGCTTTTCTTTGCTGGGAGATTATACTGCTTCAAGCTCATTATTCATTATAAATGAATTAAAGTTGTTTGTATTCTCTTTATATCCAGTTTTGGTAGGTCATTTAGTAAAAATTTATCCATTTGTTCTGGATTTTCCAGCTTATTGGAATTATGTTTTTATAATATTCCCTAATTATTCTCTGAATTTATTGTAATATCCCCATTTCATCTCTAATTTTATTCATTTGAGTCTGTCTTTCTTTTGGCTCTCTTGTTTGTCAACCTTGTTTCATCTGCTCAAAGAACCAATTCTTTATTTCATTGATCTTTTATATTGTTCCTTTAGTCTCCATTTCATTACTCTATGCTCTGATCTTTATTCTATTAATTTTGAGTTGTCTTGTTCTTGTGGGTTTTTTGGGCTTTTTATTTTTTTTTTTTTTTTGGTCTTGGGGCTTGAACTCTGGGCCTGTGCTCCATCCCTGAGCTCTTCAGCTCAAGCACTCTACCACTTGAGCCACAGCTCCACTTCTGATTTTCTGGTGGTTAATTGGAGATAAGAGTCTCAGAGACTTTTCAAGCTCAGGTTGACTTTGAGCCGTGATCCTCAGATCTCAGCCTCCTGAGTAGCTAGGATTACAGGTGTGAGCTACTGGTGCCCAGGTGTTCTTGTTTTTTTTTTTTTTTTTTAAGGTCTTTCTTTTTTAGTACCAAGGTTATTGAACTCAGCTGTTCATGCTTGCTAGCCAAATACTTTACTTGAGCCCTGCCTCCAGCCCTTTAGTTATTTTTTTCAGTGAGGGTCTCAAGTTTTTGTCCAAGCTAACCTTGTACTGCAATCCTCACAGTAGTCAAGATCACAGGCAAGTACTACCCTATCTGGCTTGATGAGTGAGATAGGATCTCCTTAACTTTTTGTCTGGGCTGGCCTCTAGCCAAGATCCTCTTGCTTAGGCTGGCCTCAAGCCAAGATCTCTGCTCTCTGAGTAAGCTGGAATTTCAGATGTGAGCCACCATGCTCCTCCAGATCGCTTTAATTTTTTTAATATTGGTACTCATAGCTATAAACTTTTATCTTCACATTGTTATGTCCCAAATGTTCTGACAAGTTGTTTTTGTTTTCATTTGATTACAGTTTTCTTAACTTCCTCACTGATTTTTTTGTGCCTGTTCTAGGGCTTGAACTCAGAGCCTCTGGCCTCTTCCTGTTTGATTCTTTTGCCTGTAGTCGACACTCTGCCACATGAACTACATTTCTGCTTCAAGCTTTTTGCTGACTAATTGGAGTTAGGTTTTTGTTTTTTGTTTTTTGGGGGGGTCCAGTCGTGGGGCCTGAACTCTGGGCCTGGGCGCTGTCCCTCAGCTCTTCAGCTCAAGGATAGTGCTCTACCACTTGAGCCACAGCGCCACTTCCGGCTTTTTTCTTTTTGCTTATGTGGTGCTGAGGAATTGAACCCAGGGCCTCAGGCATGCAAGGGCAAGCGCTCTACCACTGAGCCACCTTCCCAGCCCAGGTTTTTTTTTTTTTTTTTTAATTCATTTGCCCATCTGGCTCTAAGCCAAGATTCTAAGATCTCAGCCTCCCAAGAACCCAAGATTCTAGGTGTGAGCCACAGTTATCCAGGTCACACTGACTTCTCCATCGACCCACTATTGTTCTATCTCCATGTGTTTGTGTAGTCTATATAGTTTCTCTTGTTTGTAATTTCTAATTTTATTCTGTTATGATGAGTTAAGATAAAAGAAATTACTAGCCAGGCACTGGTGGCTCATGCCTGTAATCCTAGCTACTCAGGTGGCTGAGATCTGAGGATCACAGTTTGAAGCCAGCCCAAGCAGAAAAATCCCTGTGAGACTCTTATTTCCAATTAACCACTCAAAAAAAGAAACAACAACAACAAGAAAAAAAAAACTGGTGCTGTGGCTAATGTGGTAGAACACTAACCTTGAGCACAAAGAGGCTCAAAGACAACACCCAACCCCTGAGTTCAAGCTCATAACCCACAAAAAAAAAGTCTCATTGACTTTCCTGCCTAGGCTGGTTTTGAACCAGGATCCTCAGATATCAAATCTCAACCTCCTGAGTAACTAGGATTACAGATGTGAGCCACTAGCACTTGCTGTCAAACCTTTTTTTTTTTTTGGTCAGTCAAGGGGTGCTGTCCCTCAGCTCTCCAGCTCAAGGCTAGCGCTCTACCACTTGAGCCACAGTGCCACTTACGGTTTTTTGGTGGTTTATTGGAGATAAGAGTCTCACAGGCTTTCCTGCCCGAGTTGGCTTTGAACTGTGATCCTCAGATCTAAACCTCCTGAGTAGCTACGATTACAGGTGTGAGCCATCGGTGCTCGCACTGGTGCTTGCTGTCAAAACTTTTTGTGGCCTAAGATGTCTGTTTTGGAGAAAATTGTATGGGCTACTGCAAAGACTGCATATTCTGCAGTCATTGAATTGAATACGCTGTAGATTACTGCTAAGTCCAATGTCCTTTAATGCTAAGATTTGTGTGTGTGTGTGTGTGTGTGTGTGTGTGTGTATATGTATATATATAATTTGGTTTTTTTTTGGTCAAGATGATCTGTTGGTGAGAATGGAGTCTAGAAGGCATCTAATATTTTTGCATCTGGATCTCTGTCTCTTTGTGTCTAGTAGTGATTGCTTCATAAAATTGGGTGCACCAGGCTGGGAATGTGACTTAGTAATAGAGTACTTGCCTAGCATGCACAAAACCCTGGGTTCGATTCCTTAGTACCACATAAACAAAAAAGCCGGAATTGGCGCTGTGGCTCAAGTGGTAGAGTGCTAGCCTTTAGCAAAAGAAGCTCAGGCTCAGTGTCTAGGCCCTGAGTTCAAGCCCCAGGATGGGCCAAAAAAAATAAATATTTTGTATCTTCTTCATAAATATCTAATTATCTTAATCCCTCCTATTTCAACTTGATGTCTACTTTGTCAGATGTGAGTATAGCTACTTTTTTTTTTTTTGTCAGTCTCGGAGCTTAAACTTTGGGTGTGGGTTCTGCTGTCCCTCAGCTCTTCAGCACAAGGCTAGCGTTCTACCACTTGAGCTATAGCGTCACCTCTGGTTTTCTGGTGGTTAATTGAAGATAAGAGTCTCACAGACTTTCCTGCCTGGGCTGGCTTTGAATAGTCATCCTCAGATCTCAGCCTCCTGAGTAGCTAGGATTACAGGTGTGAGCCACTGGAACCCAGCTTTGTAAGGTGTTTTTTTGTTTTGTTGAAAAAAAAATGGGTCATGTTTTTTATTAGTCATCCAGTCTGTTTTTTTATTGGGGAGTTAAGACCATTTACATTTAGGCTTATCATTACTAATTTGTATGTATGCCTTTCCTGGGGCTTGAACTCAGGGTCTAGGAGCTGCCTCTGAGCTTCTTTTTACTCAAGGCTAGTGCTTTACTCTTTGAGCCACAGCTACACTTCTGGATTTTTTTTCTGGTAGTTTATTGGAGATAAGAGTCTCGTGGACTTCCCTTCCCAGGCTGGCTTTGAACCATGATCCTCAGATCCCAGCCTCCTCAGTATCAGGATTACAGGTGTGAGCCACCAGCACCCAGCTTAGGCTTATTATTGAAAAGCATTTGTTGACTCTTGTGGGTTTTTTTTCCCCCAGATTGAGTACTGGGTTTTCTTTTTTTCTTTGCCCTGTTGATTTTAGGATTTTATTGATTTGCTGAGTTGACATGTTTGATTCTTTCCTAATTCTCATGTGTTCATTTACCAAGTATAATTTTCAAAAAAGACTTTTATTTTATTGCAGAGTTCCAGCATCTGTTCCTAATTCATTGAATTTTGTTGTTATTGTTCTGTTGGTCCTGAGGTATGAACTCAAGGCCTGAGTGCTATCCCTGAGCTCTTTTGCTCAAGGCTAGCACTCTACTACTTGAGTCACAGCCCACTTCTGGCTTTTTGGTGGTTAATTGGAGATGCGAGTTTCACAGACTTTTCCACTCCAGCTGACTTTGAACTATGATCCTCAGGTATCAGCTTCCTGAATAGCTAGAATGACAGGTGTGAGCCTGTAAAGAGAGGCCTTGGGGCAGAAGGGTCAACTATAGGAATCCAGTAGATATGTGACCAAATTTTTTTTTTTTTTTGGGGGGTCCGGTCGTGGGGCCTGAACTCTGGGCCTGGGTGCTGTCCCTCAGCTCTTCAGCTCAAGGCTAGCGCTCTACCACTTGAGCCACAGCGCCACTTCCGGCTTTTTTCTTATGTGGTGCTGAGGAATCGAACCCAGGGCCTTGAGCATGCAAGGCAAGCACTCTACCACTGAGCCACCTTCCCAGCCCCTATGTGACCAAATTTTAAGACAGATTACTCTGCCCTTTGAGCAAGGGGGAAAAAAGTGCTAGTGAAAGACCCTCAACCCACACCTGCTGAGGGCTGATTAAGATCAACGACCTGGCTGATTCTCTAAGGAAGTCATCTGGGTTGGATCATCAGAGGTTCCTGAGAAGTTTATCTCAGGAAACCAAGAAGCCACAGAAGGATTGTAAGCTGCATTCATGAATGTGTGAGAGTGACCATGGATCCCCTGCCCTGGTCTCTCCCAATAGGAAAGAAGGGTATGGTGAAGGAGGCAAAAGCTCGGAACTCCCTGGCGTCCAGGAAGATGAGGCTGCATCCTGAGCCCCTGCATGTGCCCAGGGCCGCCGGTAGCATGTTCATCCCACACCTCCAGAGGCCCACCGCCCTCATGCAACAGCTGCCTCTGCAGGCAGGGGGCTAGGGACTGCAGTCCCCTCCCTGGCCCCCTCCCCTGTTGTGCTGCATGACCTGTGCACAGGCATGTTCAGGGACAGGATTGGAATATGTGTCATCCGTGGCATGGGGAACAGGGCCCCCAAGGGGCCTTCTTTCTGGTTCCAGCTCTTCTTGGCCTAACCTATCCTGTGGGGAACCCAGGCTCAGAACAGAAGGTAGGAGACCAAGATGACAGGTGGAACCCTGGCTTAACTACACTCTGAGACCTCCACGGCTGGGTGGGTCTGGCTCAGCTTCCATACTGCATGGAGGATTTTGCTCTGTTCTGGGCATGGAGGTACACAAGCTCCCTTCCCCACAAATGCGGTTATGAAGGCTCTGACCTCTATAATGTATGCCTGGACCTCAGCAGGGAGAAGGCCAAAACTGGATATGAAATTCAGATTCCCTTTTTTTTTCTGTTGTCTTTTATTTTTGTTTTGACCATGGGGCTTGGAGGGAGGAGGCTACTGGGGAATCCTCTGTGGCCCTTCCCGCAGCTGGGAAGCATACTCATGATTTGGTAGTCAGGTGGACTGGCTTGCCCTTCCTGGATCATGTTTTGTATCCAGCACCATTTAGAAAATAGCCTGGACTGAATCAAGAATGGAATCCACACCTGAACCAGGAGCAGCACCCCTTCCCACCCATCACACTCGCTCCCAAGGCTTCCCAGAGCGAAGGCTGCAGAAGTAGCATTGGGGTGACATCGGCGGAGGGCTCACAGAGCTGTGACCTTGCAAATGTGGGAGTAACTGGGATCTGATGTTTCACTAGCTTGCCCGTCACCTTCCTTGGATGAAGGATAAACTGTTTGGATGGGAGGCCTTGCCACACAAGGGCTCCAGCACAATGTGTACTCTGGCAGGTGGGCCAAGCACTCCATCAACCACCTCCTCCCTAGGACATCGGACACCCCTGCCTGGGGTGGGAGATGGGGGCACCCATATGGATATGTCCTTCTTAGCAGGTTTTGTCTTCTCACTGAGATTGTGATTGCTTGGCCTGCATGATGTTTACTGACTAAACACAGAGATTGATCTCTAAAGGGAAAAACCCACAAGACTCAGGTTCCACCCCTGAAAATGTGGGCCACAAAAGGGATTTCCACTGCCTGTGTGGGTTTCATATAATGGGAGGGCTTGTTTGTAAGAGAGGGAGGCTGAGAAGGTGTGAAAGGGGCGGTTGAATCATGTCTTGCCCCTGTGGGAATATGTCACACCTCCATGCCCACATGCGCGTACGTGCCATCTGCTGCACACAGCACACTCGCATGTTTCACACCGGTACCTGCATCTGTAACATAATGTCTATGTCTATTTAAGGCTGGGAGCAGAAGATGGCCCATTATCAATGGGCTCCCATTTCTCTCCAACTCCTCTGCACTAAGGCAGCCAGTGTGACCCAGGGCTTAATACAAAATAATAATACAATACTATCTTTAAAAACACTTCTATAGAGTTAATGGGAGACAAGTTCAAAGCCAATTACTGACAACAAAGTTTTCTTGAGCATCTCTGCTGATAGTCAGAGGATCCAGGGTTTCGGGAAGCTTCAAGGATTGGACATCTTCAGGAAAAAAGCATGGAGGAGGGTGGCTGGTATCAATGAGCCTGGCAGAGCCAGGATGCGGTGGGGGTTCTCACCCATTGCGGAGGGTTTGAATTGGCATCATTGTTTCTGAATGTAGCACAACTGAACAAACTCTATAAGAGTGTTTTAAAAATCAACTTCCCAGGAAGTGAGTTAAAAACAATAAAAGCCTTTTTGAGTTAAAGAAAAAAGTAGGGGGCATTGTGTATACACATTCTGCTTCAGTATATGTGCTCTTCTCCTGGGCTGGCTCAGCTGACAGTGCTCACTTTTCTGGGAGGTTTTTGTTGTTGTCGGCTGTGGGGCTTGAACTTAGGGCCTAGGTAATGTTCCTGAGCTTTTTTTGCTCAAGGCTAACACTCTACCACTTTGAACCACAGTGCAACTTCTGGCTTTATGGTGCTTCATTGTAGATAAGAGTCTCAGAGACTTTGCTGCCCTGGCCAGCTTCAAACCAGAATCTTCAGATCTTTGCCTCCTGAGTAGCTAGGATTACAGGTGTGAGCCACTGGTGCTGGGCATTCCATTACAGTAGTATGAAGGGTTCTGGGAGAGAGGGAGGGAGGGAAGGAGAGAGCTTGCCATCCTGCGTGCACCTCAGGTTCCTTGAAAGGTCTCATGGGATCTTTTTGAAGAGCTAGTAGGCTGTTCATAGAGTACCCTGTCTGTTTCCTGGCACAAGAAGGCAGATATCTGGTCCAGGCAGATATACATCAAGGGGCAGGAGTCCTTGAGCAGTGTCACTGGAGTCCCCGTGCTGGAGACCTAGTATCCTTCCTAATACTCCCTAGCCCTGGGCCCTGATCCCTGCCCTTATTAGGGTACTTCAGGGCAATGACAGCCTTGAGTTTGAACTTAAGCTTTGTTCCTTAATTGTATCACCCTTGGCAAGTCATTGGAGCATTGATTTCCTTCTAGTTTAATATGTATGATACCAGCATCTCCTTTGTGGGAATCTTGTGATGCTAAATGAAGTCTTGTGTGCTGGAAGTACATAGTAAGCATTCAGCAAATGGGATCCTTGTGAGGGAGACATGGGGAGCAGGGGCCAGCATACCTTGCATGATAAGTGCTTGCTTAGCTATGAGTTTCCAGCTGAGGTCGACTAGCGGGCATTGCACTGAAATCCAGGAGGGAGACCAAGCTAGAGTGGCCCACTGACTGTGGTGGCCAGTTTTTCTACATGAGGAATGGAGAACACCATGCTCCTGCCTGCCTCCTGGTTATCCTGCCAGGCTCCTGGGAGGGGCTCACTCAACCCTCTCCAGAAGGGTGCTGGCAGCCAGGCAAAAGTTCCCAAACTAAATGAGTCTTTTTTCTTTTTCCTTTCCACACCCACCATCCCACAATGTCAACCTCCTCCATTACTTATCTCCTTGCTTTCTTGGTCATCACTATAATCCCTGCCTTCATCAGAGAGGTCTGTGAGTACCCATCTGGCCAGGCCCATCTGTCTCAGCCTTTCAGCCTAGCATGCAGACACCTCATGCTGGTCTCTGGATGTTTGGCTGAGTCAGGAGCCATATATTCCCCTCTGCTAGTTTCCCTGCTCACTGCTCTTCAGGCTACCATCCCCCCAGGGCCCTGCCTTTCCTCAGTTTCTACCACTGCCTGTCAACATCAGACCCTCAAGTCTTGTTTTGAAAAGGACTGCCCTTGAGGACGAACCCTCTAGTGAGCACATTGGTAGGAAACCGGATCAGGAAGCCAGGCACCATAATGCTAAATACTCAGGAGGCTGAGATCTGAGGATTGTTCAAAGCCAGCCTAGACAGGAAAGTTTGCAAGACTCTTATCTCCAAATAACCAGCAAAAAGTTGAAAGTGGAGTTGTGGCTCAAATGGTAGCGCACTAGCCTTGAGTGAAAAAGCTCAGGAACAGTGGCCAGGTCCTGAGTTCAAGTCCCAGTATTGGCACACACACACACACACACATGTCAAAGAAGCATGTTCTCTAGACCTTACCCCTCAGGGGAGCTGAGCCTGGTGGCAGTGGGGTTCAGGCAAAAGCTTGGGAGGCATTCTGGGGAGGCTCCAGTGCTTCTCAGGGGCATTCTAGATGCCATAGGCCCTTTGCCTGACCTCTGCTCTTCCAGCACATCTCAGTGTGTGCAGAAGTGGAGGGAAGGGTGATCAGAGCCACTGAGAGTTCCAGCTGTTTCAGGAAGATACAGATAAAAACCTTCAAGGGCTGGGAAGGTGGCTTAGTGGTAGAGTGCTTGCCTAGCATGCATGAAGCCCTGGGTTCAATTTCTCAGTACCACAAACACAGAAAAAGCTGGAAGTGGTGCTGTGGTTCAAGTGGTAGAGTTCTAGCTTTGAGCAAAGGAAGCTCTCAGGGACAGTGCCCAGGCCTAGAGTTCAAGTCCCAGGACTAGCCAAAAACAAACAACAACAACAAAAAACTTCAAGTTATGGGGTCACCCCCACCTTGCTTAGGCAGACAAGTAGATTATTCCCTGGGCAGCCCCTCTAGGGAGCAATGCAGGGTGGGGGTGCTAGCTCTGAAACCCAAGAGGAAAATGGGGGATGGGAGACTAGAGAGGGGCCTGTCCTTCACCTCATTGTGGAACCGTGCCCTGGCCTATAGAGCCTTGAAAATATACTATGTTCCAAGCTTAAATGGCCATCTTCTTCCTAATTACAACCCCTCCCCCCCAATACATGCCTGCACTCAACCTTTTCTTTTGAGGCTTAGATACATCCATATTTTCCAGCTGGGATGGCCAGAGGACAAACCATCACCCCCCCCTCCCAGGCATTTTCCAGGCAGCAATATATCCACATACTGGTTGTGCTGACCACCTTATCAGTCTATCCTGGCTTTGGTAGTCAGTCTTCCTGCCCTCACCATTTCCTAACCACATCCTCTAGGAAGTCTTCCTGGATGTATAGCCCCAGAGGCATTCTTAGCGTGTGGATTGGTCCCTGACCCATCTTCCACAAGACTGGGACCAGTTTGTCAAAACCTCCATTCATCCATTAGCTGATCTACCTTCACAGCTTACATCATGAGTCTTAGAGTTTACTCTTTATATTTATATTGTGTGGGTTCTGAGAAATGTATGAGGACATATAGTCATCATAATAATACCATGTAGAATGGTTTCACTACCAGAAAAATCTCTGCAGTCTTCTTGTTTATCCATCCCCTCTCATCCCCAGCAGCCACTGATCTGTCAACATGGATTTGCCATTTGCAGAAAGTTAGGGTTGGAATCCTGCAGCATGTATGTTTATAGCTTGCCAGATCATTTTAGTGAACAGCAAGAATTTAGTAGAAGGGTGGTAGATATTCCTAAATTTAGCATGGGAAAAGGTCATTTATTTTCAGTATGTTCATCTGTCCATCCCTTTATCCATCCATCCATCCTTTCAATATTTGCCCAAGGTTCTTTGTAAACAGCCACTGAGTTTGACACTGAATTACATCAACACACCGTTGATGCTCCCAAGGCTCTACCACCCATTGTAGGAGACAGACATTAACCAAGTTGCCAGATAAGTGCTTAGATGATTTTGAATGGATCCAAGCACTCTATTGGAAAGATTGCCAGAAAGCAAGTTATTTGACTTTACTCTTAAGGAAGCTTTTCAGAGGAAGGAATGCTCCTGTTGGAATCTGAAGTTGAGGAAGAACTAACTAGGCCAAGATGGGGGGAAAGGGTGGGGAGCAGGGAAAGAAAGCTCTCAACAGAGAGACTACCTTGTGCCAGGACCCTATTAGGGTCCTGGGGAGGGAGGGAGCATCAGGCTTTCTAAGAACTGAAGTGGTGATGGTGGGAAGGAGAAGTGTTACAAAGGAAGCTGG